GTTTTTTTTTTTTTTTTTTTTTTTTTTGTATATTTACGCCAATTCGTAGTGTTAATAAGCCGAAGTTTTTTAACGGTAACTCGAATTCAAATCAATTGCATGCAGAACGAAAAAGAAACGTGTCCTGTGTGTGTGCCTTTGGGATGCTCGTTCAAATGGTGGTTAGGAAGAGACTCTGGAGACTTTACAAACTATAGCGACTATAGGAATATGGACTATAGAAACTATAGCACTTAAGCTATATAGACCATGTAACTATAGACTATAGAGTGTAGACTACAGGGACTACAGACTATAGTCTATATATAGTCTGTTTTATAGTCTATATATATGTATATATTCTATAGGACAGTTTACTATAGACTATAGAGACTAAAGGGCTATAGATTATGGACTGTAAGAACTATAGAGACGTTATGACTATAGGACCATATTCTATAGAGACTATGGGACTATAGATTTTAGACTATAAGAGCTATAGAGACTATAGGACTATAAAATATGGAAACAATAGGTTTGGGTAAAAGGTTAAAGGTAGAGTCTTGAAATGTTTATACATAGATATTTAAGCAGATCCTCAGAAAGACAGATAGATTAACATTCAGATTAACAGTCAGGTTGACAGTCACATTGACATTCAGATTTACAGTCAGATTAATATCCAGATTAACAGTCAGATTGACAGTCAGGTGAAAACACCGTCTCTCTAGTGAAATAGCCAGTCAGAATTGCTGAATTCCCTAAAATCCAATGAACGAGCATTCTACAGTCGACTACAGCCGACTCTCATGTGCCTTTTTCTTTATTAATTTGTCAATGATTTCTCGTTTGTTTATTTTGTTTTTGTTTTTGTTCACTTTGAATTTGAAATTTTATTGTGACTGGTTTCCGTTTTGTTCATACGTTTTTCTATCACAGCAACATATTTGTATACACTATTTTACATACTAAAAATGAAAATCAAAGAGAACTTATCCCATACTATAAATGAAATGAATTATTTTACAGTATTTCGGCAAGAGAACCAAAATGGACAAATGCAAAAAATGATGAAGTCTGTAGCAGTGTGGGGGATGGGGCAGTAGGGGCAGGGAAAGTGGGGAGGATGAAAATAAGTCAATACCAAACGCGTCGTACAATTCAATTCCTATTTGACTATAAATATACAAGAATTGAAATTGAAAAGAACTTGAAAAGCATTCACTTGTTTATGTATTCTTTACATGAATTGAATTTCTATTCTGTTTATGTAATTATTATTATTATTATTATATTTTTAAGTATTTGAAGTATATTGAGTATTTTACAAAAGTAGAAACAATATTTTGTACGACTCGTGCCAAAACTGAAGCAATTACGTAGACCGTCAGAGTGAATCATTTATGGGAACTGAAAGAGGCACATAGAAATTGTGATGATCTCTAGAGGAGGAGGAGGAAGCATTCGCCTCGTTCACTTACAATGAAATGTGGCGCCGAGAAGAGCACAGCCAGCGTGGCTATAATTGTGAAGAGCGTGAAAATAATAAGGCACAAACGATCCACGACCATTGCGGCAAATTTCCAATCGCGCGTTATATCGCCTGTCTCATCCTCTTTCTTCAGCTGCTTGATGAAATGGGTCAATGGATTCACCTGAAATATGCCATGCGTTGTTCGTATTCTACGCACCTGATCGGTTATCCAGCGCAGTTCCTTGAGTATCAGCGCCAGTTCGTATTCCGCCGAAGAGCTGAGGCAGGTGTGGGAAATGGCCTCGTGCATGCGGGAGTCGGGCACAGGTGCGACTGGACCCACTGGACCAACGGGCCCAACTGGACCCACGCTGCCATCGTCGCCTTGCCTGCACGAAGCACTCATTGCAATAGTTTTATCAATATATTATAGACATTTTTACTGTATACTATACGAATTGTTCATCTTATATATATGTATATATTTAGATACTACTTGATCTCAAGCTTCTGAGAAGTGTGTTGAAACATGAGCCTAATGACAACCTTATCACGCCGTCCCTTGATTGTGGATGAGCATTCAGGAACTGTCTAGTACAGGGTATATATAGTATATATAGTGTGGTATCAAAAATCTAGTCTCTACATACTCTCTGTATTGCTTCATTGCAAATTTGAAATCTTCAGCTCCAACAGCATTCGAGTTACGCTTTAAGAGCGAGGTCAAATCATCGATTATTATCGATAATAAGAACATGGGATGACTTATCGAAAAATTATATTAAACTCGCTCTGCTCTTGCTATGCATGAGACTACATGTATCACTAAATTTTCTAGCATTTGTTTTTTACGACATCTCTACGTTCATACAGACTGGAGTTTTAAATACTCTCAGGTATATAGGTCGAGTACTTAGATCAGCTAGAATCTTCAGTTTGGCAAATGTAGAGCTGTTCCGCTTTACGACTACAGACTTTACTCCTTTACTCATGCCTGGTTCTTTGATATTAATGTTGCTGGCTAAACTACATTCTCTAGTAGTTAAATCTCTGCTTCAAGAATGTATACATATATATATTTTAAATGGAGCAAATGACGTTGCAAATTTTTTGCAAATCGTTGCATTTTTTTTCAAGCCCGAGCTGGAACTGAATTATCGATGGCACCCAATGCAGCCCCAAACCCAACTCAACTCAACTCAAGTCAATATTTTAAGGGACAACGTAATTGTGACTGTTGGTTTATTGACTCAATTCAATGGTCTATTGTGCGAGAGGACATGTGAAAGGAGCCGAGCAGCTGAGCATCTGACGAGCTGAACAGCTAAGCAGCAGCTGAGCCTGAGTCTGGGCCTGGGCCTGAGSCTGAGACACGTGCCAGTAGATGTAGATGTTCATCTCACTGTTCAAGCGTTTTCTATTACGAATGTATTTTTCTTTTCCTGTTCCTTTTCTTAGTCGTCGCATTTGTGCGTTCTGCTTGTCACTAAATGCGTGTCCTTGCCACTTGCCACTATTTTCTCAGATTTTATTTATTTTTTATTTTTTTGTGCATGTATTTTGTTTTGTTTCGTTGTTGTTGAGGCACACATCTTGTCATTGTCATTGTCATTGCCATTGTCATTGACTGTCATTTGAGGCTTGCTGAATGCGAATGCGGATGCGTCTTGTTGAAGCTTCTTTTCTTATTGTCATTTTCTATTATTTTCCTTACATTTTCTTTTAAACAAGTGCGTTTTAATAGCCTCGTAAAGTGTAGTATAAATAGAGGTATAATTTGTATAAGATAAATAATTATATATGCTACTATATATATTTCTGCAGATCAGCTTAATTATCACTTACATCATGCACATTTCAACAACTGAGAAAGCCTTTTGTCAAAAACCGATATCAATCGATATCGATCAATAATTATCGATACCCTTTAAAGAAAGTATATATTGTCAACTTAAATGAGTCTAGGATTTTCTTGGCTCACAGCTCGTCTCTATTTGAGGTGGGAGTTTATATATTGTATACATTTTTATTATATCGATATATATCGATTTATACCATAGCTTGCGCAAAAGGCTTTCAGTTTGTGAAACGATTTCTTCTATTGATCATAGAGAGTATATATTATTACATTTATTGATTTGGGGCAAGTCAAAGACTAGGGATATTCCCTCAATGGAAAAATTGATAATGATTTTAGCGCTTTTAATGGAAATATTCCTTTAATTTATTTTTATCTTAATGAGGATATGCCTTGAATGGAATTGTTTTAGATTTTTTTTTTGTTAATTTTTTTATATGAAATTAAATTAAATGCTTTGATACTGCAAGTCAAAAACTTAAATTGATTTTAGCGGGATATTCTTTCAATTCATCCGTATCTTGGTAGGGATATCCATTAATAAGATAATCCTTCAATTTATCCTTATTTTAATGGGGATATTTCTTCAATGGCAGATTATCCTAATATATGATTTAACTTTAAGCAATATTTATTGACGGAAAATATATCACCTAACCGTAAACGATATCATTGTAATAAAAGTTAACTCTCTGACTTTACCTGAACATTGTCCTGTAGTATGTGGGCTGATGGGGTAACGTGGCGCTAGTGCAGCGATGATTGCAACGAAAGTCGTCATCAATGTCGAGTACGTTGGCGAGCAGCGATTTCGAGGACCTGTTGGGTGTGGATGAGGATGGCACAGCACACACAATAGAGAATGGTGGGTAAATAGATCAGTGAACTGTATTGTATATGGTTAGTAGAGAATATCTATCATATCGATGGTCGATCGGCTAGTACTTAGTAGTCGGACAGTTGGTTCTAGTTAGAGTGTGAGTGAGAGAATTGACGGAATGTTTTGTCGGTTACCTTTCCTTGAGCTCAACGTTTTGGATCTGTTGCTTTTTGTCACCAGCTGTCGAGGAGCCCGACGACGACGGCGGCGGCGGGCATTCGTAGCCAACCTGTCCGGGTCTTTGCATGCGCAATATGCAAGGTAACCAATAAAGGAATATTACTCTTATCTGTGTGTGCGAGTTCGACAGAGAGACGGGGTGTTTGTTGGGTAATGCGGTTAAAAATAATAGCAATAAGTATATTTTTGGTTTTTTTTTTTTCGGTATAAATAGTATATATATTTTTTTTTATTGTTAAAGTTTTTGTATTTATACTCATTAACGAAAGTGAAATGAGTATGTTGGTTTTTGTTTTTTTTAAGCAGTTTTTTTTATAGTTTTTTCATTGGATTTGATCAAATGAAGTGATATTTTTGTTGGATAAGAAATTTTA